AAAGCACTGTATATTATTAGACAATGGAAGTCCAAACTGATGAAGTTCATCATGAAACATTGTCAATCACCTTCAAGCTTATCTTGTAGTTGTTTAGAATTTTATATCAATGAAAAAGTATGAAAAGGATTACATATATTTCCTCCTATGAATTATATAATATGTTTCAGATGGTGAAATAGTAGTTAGATTGAAGAAGGTATATTTTTATATTATTTTTTCTGTCTGGTGAAACTTAATAATATCATACTTTTGAAATGACTTCATGTAACAAATATTCATCATAATGATTCATACATATTTACATATTTGAATAATCTATTTTGTAATGAGGAAGGTGAATTTCGGAAGCAGTGGAAGTTTTCAATTTCAAATTTGTAATTCAAACATTGTTTGGGCTTCTTTTTTAGGGATTTTATGGTAATAATAGAGTCAGGTTGCTTTGCAACACTTTTAGAATATATTAAAACAAAATTATTTCTTGATAATGTCAAAGAGTTTGCAATTAACATACAGCATTATAGAACTTTCATAGGATTCAAAATTGAATGACAAAAAGTACGCAACTCAAATTGTTTCACAGGTCAACGTTACGCCATAGTTGGGACTACTTTGTATTCTTTGTTTTCTTTTTGAAGTTTTCAACGTTCATTGAGAATAATGTCCTGACAAAAAGATATTGTTTCAAACAGCAAAACTTTATGTTCTACATAGAAATATATTCTGATTGTAAGAATAACTGTTCAAAGTGAAAATTTCAACTCCTTCGTTTCATCCTAATATGAGGAAGACAAATTATCATCATTTTTGCAATTTTTCTAATTGCAGTTGATTGCAGTTCTCAAAAGCCCTAATATTTATTTATAATAGTTATGAATAATGTTGTGACAATCCATGTAGACTATAAAAAAATTGATACAGACCAATTCACAAAGGATTGTAGAAAAAACCAATCACTTCATAACATGTATCGAACACCACACTAACAAATCAAAAATTGTTTTAGAAATTTTAAATTGATATTACTTCTCTCGACTCGCAGAGAAAACTGGAGAATGTAGAGCGCATTAGTGTGTAACTTGTTTAAAATGATTCATAAGATGAGAATATTTGTGTTTGTTAACCAAGCAATGAAATTCAAGGTTCCTTTAAAGGACATGATTTCGTTTGAATCGAGCAATATTGCGAAAATCCCGTAATCTGATTGATGCACTTTGTAAAAAGACAAGCAATTTTGTAATGTTCTACAAGCATTTCAAGAAAAAAAATATCTTGTTGGAAATTGGTGTTATCTTGATTTAATTTTAATTTTTTCCTTAGTATCTGATCAAAAATCACGTTTTGAGTTGTGAAGGGTATAACTGAAACCAACATCTGTCGTAGAGCAAATTCAAAATAAGCATTGCTTTGATACACTAGAACAGCAACACTCTTCTTGAAGTGCATTGCACCAACAAAGTTGGCGTCGTTTGGAAATGACCTATACTGAGTTCATCTATATAATTTTTTTTCTTCTCGTCATCTGAGCTTTGCAACCTCGTCTCTATGACGCTCGAGTAAATCCCCATTTTGCATCGTGGGCTCCCATGATATAAAGCATTTGACCGTGTGTGGCTAGCCAAACTTCGATGCTATGGCTTGTTGAATCATTTTTGTGTATGGCTCTCCAGCTTCCTGAAAACATTTTTTCTACAAGTGGCCGTCGATGGATATCCCTCGAATAATTTTACCCAGGAATCCATATTATCTTCAATTCCTTTTTTTTATTGAATATCAACGACTTATTGGAAAAAAACAAGAATCCAAAATATTGCTTTGCTGACGACAGTACACTTGTTTCGTCATTTCATTTGGATTCCAGAACATGCACATCTTCACCAGAGCAGCAGGAGGTTGCATGTCTTAATGAGGATCTAGAGATGATTTCGAATTGGGGCTTTACTCAAACTGCAGTTTGAGTAACTTTATCTACCATAAAGGTACATGAGTTTTTTTAAGGATTTGATTTTCCAAATGAATGAAGATAATGTGAAGTGAGAGTATGTAACAAAAAATTTATAATAAAACAACATTTCTTGAAACCATTGTTGGTCCCAAAAGTATTGCTAGCTTAACTTTTTGAATGAGTTCGAAAGCATTCAAATTAAATAGGAACATTTCACCTTTCTTCTCTGCTGAACAATTTTTACGCCATAAATTTTATTGAAAACGAGTTTCACCTCACGGTCGTTTCATCAGTCGAAGTGACTCATCAGTCGAACTGATTCAACTGATGATTATATGACCATTATCATGGATAGTCTTTTTAATTCTCATCGAATAAACGTTTATAATTCATTTGATTGTTGAAAATTTATAAGAACCAAAAAAGCGTCTTGGATTCCATATTTTCAATATCTCACATTCTCTGGAATATACAATTTCAATAAATACTATTTGAATACGTTAGAAATACCTCATTCATATATTTCGTCAAGAAATAATATATAACGTTTATCATGTCACAGAATATCATGTGCCTCAGTTTAATATCTTATCCCTTGGTAAACTATATCATTATTTTGTAGTAACTCCCTGAAATATTCTATTTTTTCTTCATCCTCTAACCTGCTTTCCATGACTTGTTTCTCGTGATGTTCTAGCATTTTGATATATTTCACTTCCAAATTGTTGACAACTTCATCTAACTGTTTCTGTTTTTCAACGCTATTGCGAGCGATTAGCTGTGCCTTCTGTGTTTTGAGTTGAATCTGGGTTACTTTATCTTTTAATTCTAACTCTTGTTTGAGTTTTTCTATTTGTTTCAGATATTCCTTTTCAGATTTGTGAAAAAGTTTATCCATTTTTGAAACACACTTCTGCAAAACATACACTTTATCTTCTGGTGCAGTGTTGGAAAATGTGGCCTCTATTTGCTGTCTTAGTGCAACGATCTCATTCGACATTCGGTTGCATTGCTGTTGAATTATTTCAGAAAGTCGATAAATTTCTTTATCTTTCTCTTTTTTGTCGTATTCTCCTTGCAATTTCAACTCCCTCATTCTCATTTCATATTCAGCTTTCACTTCTTTCAGTTTCAGTTCATAATTTTCTGTAATATTCTCAATTTTATACTCATATGCTTCCTCTAACTGTCTGATGTTAGCTTCATGAGTTATTTTCAATGTTTCAATCTCTTTTTTGTGCGATTCTAATGATCTCTTCTGTTCCAGTTCAATTTGCTGTTTGTGGGTTGTTTCGTATTTCATGTTCCCTTTTAGATTGTCAATAATTGCCTTCAGTTCGATATTCTGGCTCAGGGTCTCAGTTAGTCTCATCTGGAGGCCCTCGATAGTCTTCTTCCAATCTGCTGACATATAGTTCGTGTCTTTCAAAGGAAACCTCAGTTCCGTTGGTTCTGCTGGTTTGTAATTTCCCATTTCATTTATTTCATTCGTAGGAACAAACTTTTTGTAATTATTTTCAAATTTTGGATCTACTTTTACGCCATTTTGATTGCATTCTTGAACTGGGATAACTTTTTCTGCATCACCTGAACCCATAGGATTGCCGCTCAAAGAAGTAGCACTAACATCTGTAAGGTCACACCATGAACTATCATCATGGGGTTTATGTAAAATGTCTTTCTCTGTGGTGGTTTTAACATCTTCGATTTTTGAAAAATTATTGATGCTAATGAGTTTTTGTTCATTTATATTGGTATCTAACACTGGCTTGGTTTGATCCTTGGATGTTTGGCAAATTTTTTGCCTAGTATGATATAGCTGATAGAAGATGTTATTATTCATTAGATTCGCTGAATCTGGAAAAGTGTTTGATACACCCTGTTCAAAATCGTAATAAGACTGATAGTCGTTTTTCGTTCGATTATTAACTAGACAAGAATTCTCTTGCGTTTGGGAAGCAATGGGTTGTGGGATCTCTTCAATTTGCTGAGTCACTTGCCAATTCTGATTACAGCTCTTCATGTCCTTTTTTGTCGATTCAAAAACGGTTGAGGGAAGATTATCCGAAAAACTGAGTAATGGACCTGTGGGTGGTCTCTGATGGAAAGGAGGAGATATATTATTACTTTTGATTTGCCTCGCCAGTTCTAGAAGATATTTATTCCGTTCTGACTTATTGGAATGTGATGAACTTAACTTCTCTAACCATGAGCGATACAAGGAGAGGTTGGCATTGGAATCTACGTACGGTATATAATGTTTGATGATACACAAAATTTGACGGAATTCTAAATCCAGACTGGTATTTTCGGAATCATGGAAATCAGCTACCCTGAACTGATCATCCATTTCAGAATAACTTCGGGGATCCATAAATACATTGGTATTTGTTAATCACTTGGTTTTGCTTCATTAATAACTGATATTTTCCCAAATTGAATTATTTTGCAAAGGTTTCTTTTGTGAAAATGTCATATACATCACAACTGATTTTGATTTTTCGGTTACATCTATCATATGTCAAAAAAATCTTTCATAGAGGATTATGGAAATTATTGACATATATTTGAGCATCAGAATATTGGTATGCTCAAATTAGTATAAAGTGAGCTGTAGAAATGTATATTCAATATGAATTTCATTAGTTCGGACTTCAATTGTCTAATATTATATAAAATGATTTGAAATCTCTAAGAGAATCAATATAAGTTGAAAAGAATAGCTAAAAATTACGCTCATATTGAGCAGAAAAAACTCTGAAATGAAATTACAGTGAAATATAATAGAAGTAAAAAATTGAACAATCAAACAAAAAATGAAAGAATGAAAAAAAAGCGATTCCAAGCCAAATTACTTCTATAAGTTTGAAAATGTCCTTATAGGACGAAACTGCAGTAACGTTAGTAACTAATGAAAGTGGTAAAAAATATAGAAAGTTTAATTTCTCTCTTCTTCATTATGATTTCCTACCACGTAGTAACGGCTACATCCATCAATTGATTGATTAATTATAATCATCATCTTCATCACGAACGAGTCTCTGTGATCAGCTGTGATGGCTTCATGGCAAAGGAATTCAGAGTGGGGACGGAGAAAGAGAGTAATGGATAGGGAAAAAGTGAATAGAGGATAGAGGAATAGAAACTCGTAGAGGGAAATATAGGTATCACACAGCTGCACGCATTAAACTTTATCGACGAATTTTTGTTATTTCAGCTTGTGGAAATCGTCAGATTATATATTTTTCGTTATCCTTGAATTATTTCCTTCAAAATAAAAAAAATAGCACGCTCGAGAATGTCGAAATGACGTTATTTTTTCACAACTTTGCTGCCTTCCCCTTTCTTTACGTCACTCTCAAATTGTCAGATTACTGGAATATATACTTTTTAGCAGATAATTAACTCACCCTACCTTAATCTGACGCGCTCGAGAATTTCTGATGATCATTTTTTTTTTACTTATCTGATCCTTTATCCTTCACGGGCGGCCTTATATATGGGGCTCATATTTGGTGGAGGTACTTAACCCGGGTATACCCCTATATATTAATCTGCCGCGCTTTAGTAAATCCCGAAATCCCCGCTTGGGCTCCCCTATTATAGCAAAATTTGGAAACTCAATTATTCGGAATCCTTGGAAATTCATAAGCATAAACATTGCGAATGTAACCTATTGAATGACCAAATCGACTTGGTCTACTCGCCGGTTTTTAGATTAGCGTACCCACATTGTCACAGGTAAACAAAATTCAGGTAATGAAGTCATTGAAGACCGTCTCTTATTACCTTCAGTGGTGTATAGATATATATGGATTAGGTTAGGTTAGGTTAGTTCGTTGTAATAGTTTGAAAATATCTTGATAGGACGAAACTGCAATAATGATAGTACAAATAAAAGTTGTAAAAAACATAGAAAGTTTTATTTCTCATCCTTCATGATGATCTTCTGCCACGTAGTAATGGCTACATCCATCAATTAGTAACATTTTTTGCAATAGATGAATATCACATAAAACGATAGCATTTTATTTTAACCTCAATATTATTTACCTTATACATGAATAAAATTATCAGAGCAAATGTTCAAAATGCTCTTCTTGAACATTTCTAACATTTTCGAATGATTCTG